TGTCATGTACTTGTAAATATTAAGTACCCAAAATATCCAGATTACAAACACAACCAAAATAGACAATAGTTAAAAAACTGCAACAAATGTTAAACTGTATGAAATAAAGCATTATTCTTTAGAGTGTAAAGAAGCCAGCTAGAATATAAATAATATTGGGCTTGAATCTGAAAGGTAGTCAAGCACTAACAGAAAATATAAAAGTCTGAAATCCTTAGATGTAGATCTATTTTGGAATCAATATGAGTACTTTAGTTACCAAAGTGACATGAAAGACTTGTCATAATATTCATGTGCACACACAAATACACATGTACACGTTCTGAGAGATTTTGAAGCACTGTGAAAATGGTAGGCTCAAATGTGTTTTGCCATCGGCTTCAAGCTGAGAGGCAGAACCATTTGCAAATCCCGAGGAACAGACTGAGATTCAGCTACAAAATTGTTCCCAATTCTTCCTCTACTGGGTCTCACTCAGGTGTGTGGGCCAATACATTATTTTGTACAGTTTCTTGTCTTCAGTTGTTTCGGTTTTTCTCCACAGGACAGTAGTTCCCCACTCTCTATGGGGAACAGAGATATATACATTTGTTAGAAAAGGGAGTTAATTTAGCTCTCGCCCAGCGTAGTGCTAGTGCCTAAAGTAGATGAAGCCTGCAGGCCACAGGACTGAATCATAAATGAGCTCGAGAGACATTGCTGAGGATGCGACTGCAAAACCAGCTAGAAACAGCCCTCAAAGATACAGAACACAATAGATAGAGGTAACAGTTAAGCTTCGGATAAGATACAGAACACAATGAACAGGTAACAGTTAAACTTCGGCTAAGATAAGGCACTATGAAGCAAGAAGATAGCAACTGTCCTGGGATGTAGATACGAACCAATCAAGAGGAAAGGGAGACCACCAACTCAGTACAGAAGACTGGAAGAGACTGTCACAGGCAGATGGGGAAATAAGACTGTAAGGAGTATAATTATCCCCAAATTTCTTTGTTTGGGGTCCCTCCCTGGAGGCACCCAGCTCAAGCTGTTACTTTACTGCACCGTCATTTAAATTGATTATTAATTTTGCTGCTAGATGTATGTGAGACTCTGCTCCTCGGAAACCTAGCATCGAACTATTTCCATAAGACATTCTATATATAATATTATCACAAGGAGTTAAACAGGAAGACTTATATCCCCTATCTGATGGCACAGGAACATGACAAGTATATAATAATTTTCTCCAAATATGGGCAATACTGCTTAAACTCTGGCATGTCTGGAAGAGAAGGGAGAATGGGGCAAAGAATTACACAATAATGAAATATAAGGAAGGCTCATGAAATAATAAAAACAGTGATACATGCCCTGGAGTAATATTTTCTAGTCAACTGACCTGTCCATATCTGACTCTGGGTATGGAATCTCTGCTTCCTCTTCCACTCTTCTCCTCTTCACTGTTCCTTCTATTTCAGTACTTTTTGACATTTCACTTCTTTCCTTGACCTTGAAAACATTGCAGACTTAGTGTTGACAAAATTTTGTTCTGACTTTTGAAGAACTTTTCTATTTTATAACAAATTCTGGAGTTAAAATACATTTGTATTTAGGAAAACTGTTGATGCCTATACAATGAAAATCAAAAAAAAAAAAGATTAATGTATTAAATATTAGATTCTTTATTCAAATAGAAGATAACCATTGAGGGGCCATTCAGAGAATTATGCTCAAAGGTGATAACCAAATAGTATTATTTTACAGGCCATC